CGTTCTTTCTGTTCTCTTCAACAGGTGCAGAGAGTTCCGGCACACGCCCGCCGCCTGGAAGAGGGCCGTGACGGTCCTCGTCCTCAAGAAGGGAGACCCAACCGACCCGGGCAACTGGAGATCCATCTCCCTGTGCTCCACCGTTGCCAAACTCTACGCCAGCTGTCTGGCGGGCCGCATCACTGACTGAGCGGTGACCGGCGGAGCCGTCAGCTGGAGCCAGAAGGGGTTCATGTTGACAGAGGGCTGCTACGAACACAATTTCACCCTCCAGATGGCCCTGGACAACGCCCGGAGGACCAGGAAGCAGTGCGCGGTGGCGTGGCTGGATATTTCCAGTGCCTTCGGTTCTGTGCCCCACCGCCACATCTTTGGCACCCTCCGCGAGCTGGGCCTGCCGGACGGCATCATCGACCTGGTGCGTGAGCTCTACCGCAGCTGCACCACGACTGTCCACACCACCGACAGGAAGACTGCGGAGATCCCCATCCGGTCGGGGGTGAGGTAGGGCTGCCCCCTCAGCCCCATCATATCTGGCCATGGAACCGCTCCTTCAAGCTGTGGCAGGCGTCCCCGGCGGGCTCGACCTCTACGGCCAGAAGTTGAGCGTCCTGGCCTACGCCGACGACCTCGTGCTCCTCGCCCCTGACGCCACCCAGCTGCAGCAGATGCTGGACGTGACGTCCGAGGCGGCCAGGTGGATGGGCCTGCGTTTCAACATCACCAAGTGCGCCTCCCTGCACATCGACAGGAAGCAGAACAGCCGCGTCCTGAGATGCAGCACCTGCGCGACGGCGAGGCCTACTGCCACCTGGGGACACCCACCGGCCACCGGGCCAGGCAGACGGCAGAGGAGACCATCAACGGCATTGTGCAGGACGCACGCAAACTGGACTCGTCTCTGCTGGCCCCCTGGCAGAAGATCGACGCGGTGAACACTTTCCTCATCCCCCATGTCGCATTCGTCCTGAGAGGCTCGGCAGTCCCCAAGACCCCCCTCAAGAAGGCGGATGCCGAGATCCGGCGGCTGTTCAAGAAGTGGCTGCACGTGCCGCTGAGAGCCAGCAACGAGGTCCTGTACATCCCCTACCGGCAGGGGGGTGCCAATGTGCCCCGTATGGGAGACCTTGGTGACATCGCGGTGGTCACCCACGCCTTCCACCTCCTGACCTGCCCGGACACAACGGTAAGTATCATTGCTGCCAGCACCCTGGAGGAGACCACCCGCAAGAGGATCGGCAGGCAACCCACCGGACGTGACCCGGCCACCTTCCTCAGCAGCTTGCTGGAGGGCGAGTTCAGCTGAGACGGCGGGGACTTTGCCTCGCTGTGGAGCCGAGCCCACAACGCCACGTGCCACCTCGGCCCGGCCCCCCTCGGGAAGCCCATCGGCTGCGCCTGGACCTGGACCGAGGAGCGCCGGGAGCTGGGAGTCTCCTTGCAACCAGCCCCGCACGCCGACCCCGTGACTGTGACACCCCGCACGAGGACCTTCCTGGAGAGGTTCCTGAAGGACGCCATCTGCAACAAGTACGCCGGCGACCTGAGGGCCAAACCCGACCAGGGCAAGGTCTTCGACATCACCTCGAAGTGGGACGCCAGCAACAACATGCGTGAAGCTCGCTTCGCGAGCTTCACTCGCTTCGCAGACTGGAGCTTCCTCCACTGCGCCTGCCTCAACTGCCTGCCTCTCAACGGGGCCGTCCGCTTCAGCCACCGGGACAAGAGGTGCCAACGGTGCGGCTACGCAGTCGAGACCCTCCCCCACGTGCTGTGCAGCTGCAAGCCGCACACCAGGGCCTGGCAGCTCCACCACAAAGCTGTCCAGGACCACCTGGTCAGGGCCATCCCAGCCGCAGCGGGGCAGGTCCCCGTCAACCGCACCGTCCCGGGCTGCGAGAGCCAGATGCGCCCCGACATCGTGATCACCAACGAGGAGGCCAAGAAGATCGTTATTGTGGACATCACCATCCCGTTCGAGAACCGGCGCCAAGCCTTCACCGACACCTGGGCTTGCAAGCAGGAGAAGTACGCCCGCTGGCTGACACCCTGAGGGGCCGCGGCTACGACGTGACGGTCAACGCGCTCATCGTGGGAAAGCTCGGAGCTTGGGACCCCAGCAACGAGAGCGTCCTGCGTGCCTGCCGCGTCTCCCGCCGCTACGGCAAGCTGATGCAACCCCATCGGGTGGTCCCGCAACATCTACATTGAGCACATCATGGGCCACTGCCAGTACACGGACCCCACCAGAAGAACAGCCGCTGGACCGGACCCAGAGAGGACCGCCTGAACCACCCCTTCTGCACCAGTCGGACCTTCGCTTCAAGAGGATTCTTCAGCAACGGACGACCCTGCTCCACCCGAAGAGGACCCCCGCGATGAGACTGTATATGGACTGAGACACTTTTTCTTCGGACCACTTCTTCCACCATTTCAGACCATTGTAACAACGGGTTTGTGTGTTTCTATCCTCTTTTTCTCTCAGCGTCGCGAACCCCCTCCCTCCCCTTCCCCCCTCCCCCTGCCCCCAGGCTTAGCTGGCTAACTTTGTATCGCCTGTAACGTAGTTGCGTTCCCCACCTCACCCCCATCCTTCTATTGTTAGTCCCTTGCCCAGGCGCTCTGTATTTCCCTATTGGCTTTGTCAGCTTTTTTTTTTTGGATTTATAATCCTAAACATATACTAATAAAAGTCAATCTGTTTGAAAAGGGGTGGGGGAAGTCATCTTCTAGGCAATGACAGGTCTATTAGTCTGACTACATTATTTATGGAAGGTCTTAGAGCAGATATTGAAGGAAAGAACAATCAGTGGTATGGAAATAAACACAAAATGGCAGAAAATGCCACAAAGTTTTTATTTAAGGAAGATCACGTCATGCCAATCTAGTATCTTTTATGATAGGATAACCCTTTACATAAGAGCAATGCAGTGGATCTAATCTGTCTAGATTTAAGCAGAGCTGTGCCTTGTAAGAATGTATTTCCTAAACTGGAGGAGGTAGGGATCAATGCTCTAATTGTAAGGTAGATAAGCAGTTGGCTAAAGGGGGGAAATGGTTTGTGTTGAAAGGTATGTTGTTAGATTGCAGAGCAGTTACTAGTGGTGTGCATCAGGAATTGATCCTCTTTCCAGTCTTCATTTGGAGATGGTTTGCTTTCCTTTGAACTACTGGATCATAGACACAGTTAAGGGTAGAGGGACTTGTTTGGGAGATGCTGCCAGTCCTGCTACTTAGAAACTTCTCAGTCCTCTAGTTTAGAGGGTCTTGTTCTGCTCCCATTTGCTAGATTTATGGTCAGGTAGGAATTTTTCCTCTGGGTGAGACTGGCAAGGAGGTTTTGCCTTCCCCTGTAGTATAAGGAAACATTTTTTTCCTGGGATCACCTGAACACACAAACTTGTCTTTGCCTTTGCAGTAACAAGACACTGATAGTTCCCATATCTGCTCTGTTTTTTATTTGTGGCATGTTGAAGTATATTTTTCGTCTTGTAATGCATTTTGTGTTTGGGGTGGGGTGAGGAGGTAAAGTGGACAATATTTAGGACTCTGGATAACAGGTTGCCTGTGCGTGAAGGGGACTTAATTGGATGGCCCAGGAGACCTCTTCTTGTCTTCTTTTCCTATGTTTTAACTTGTAGATTGATATCCAGTTAGTAATGGTATTTAGTAGCAGTTTGTGACATGAGTAATATGGAAGTACATTCACAAGAAAAAGCTTCTTTCTGCACTTCTGTAAGCTTGTAAGATACTTCAGTTTAAGTTTACCTTAGACTAACAGAAATCAGAGATGGAAATGATCATGAGGTCATTGTCCACAGCCTGTGCCAATCCAGATTTGCTCTCCACAGTGCATTCCCTACTACTTCATGTGGCTTCCTCAATGCCCTTTGAAAACTGACTTCACTCTGAGATCCCTCTACCCCCAATTCATTCTACATTTTCTTTTGATTAGTTTTGTTCTGTTACTTCCCTGCTATTTGGTCAAGATCAAACAAAACTGGAATAAATGTAATGTTATGGTATTTAACATCA